GAAGAAGAAGAAGAAGAAGAAGAAGAAGAAGAAGAAGAAGAAGAAGATTATTGTTAAGATTCTCCTGTTATTCCAGGTGCCAATTATCTCACCTGGGTTTGGAAGCCCATCGCTGGGATGTTGCATCTCACACCAGCATCTTCTTCATGGGTGCAGCTCCTGATCTCCTTGCTGAATTTACAGTCTGTAATAGACTTTTCAAACCCTGTGCAGTCCATTTCATTGAGATGGATAGGGCCAATGCCTTTAAAAAAAGAGGAACACTCATAAGCTCATTTTCCCACAATAAACCAGAAGATATATATTTTGTATGTTCTGATGGAAAGTACCCCAATTTGGTGACCTTTGCAGTTAAAATTAACGTATCTGCATAGTTCTTCAATTAGGAAATGTGCAGATCAGACAATTCCCCTTTCAGAGAGTAAACCATGACTTCATTAATTTGGTGAGCCAATGTTGTTGTGTTTCCTTTTGCCTTTTTATTCAGTTTAATAGAACCTTTTCCCCTAGAGACCTGTCCTAAGACCATCACTGCATCTGGAGCAAATCAGATATAAGGAAAGTGTGTTAAGAATTCATAGACTGTCTGCAGAGATTCTCAGTTCAACCAAAGAAGCTTAGATGAAAAGCTAAATGTTTTCAAAGGAAAAAAACCAAGAAAGTGCATTTGCCTTTTGAAAAAAAAGCACAATTCATAGACAGGACATCTCTATTGTCCAGATGCCCTCAAATCCAAATAGAAGCCCAGGAAACTTTTGCGTTAAAAATATCCAGGGCTTTAATTACATTTTTCTGCAGTTAATTTTGTTTTTATTCTTGAGGTGCTGTTTCCAATATTTTTCTTTCTTTCTTTCAATTGTTAGAAACAGAACAAAGGCCAATTTTCCATTTCTCCATCATTTTTTAAAAATTTCATTTGGAGAAAGGGAAGCAAAATATGCAACAGGCATTTTGGGCTATTTTTGCCCACAAGCCTGACATTTCAATAGGGATAAGGATCATTCTTTTGTAGGATTACAGAAAGATCGCAAATAAACATGGATTATTAGAAGATTTCTAACATTATTTTTTTACTTTTGCAAGAAAACAGAGGGTTATAAAATCTTTGAACTTATATGGACATCACGGCACTACAAAATTAGGAAAAATAGTCCTGTAGAATGGCTTATGGTTCCCTTTTGTAATGCAGCCTCAGTGAAACAAGATCTTAAAATCTAGCTCTGCTCCCAAGTCTTGGGTTAAAGTAAATAATGGACCATTGATGACATGTCAGTCTAGTGTGGCCAAAGGTGTTCTTTTAAGACGTAACTGGACTTTGTGCTTTTTCTTTGAAGACATTTTGCTTCTCATCCAAGAAGCTTCTTCAGTTCTTGGATGAGAAGCAAAAGCTGAAGAAGCTTCTTGGATGAGAAGCAAAATCTTCAAAAAAAACCAAACAAAACCCAGAAAGTCCAGTTGCCTCTTGAAAAAGCACCTTTGGGACAACCATGACCTGGATGACCGAGAATCTCCATAGACTTAGAGCTGGTATTGGTTTTCCGCACATCTGTTTTGCATTGTTTTGCATTATATTCTTTTAAGTTGTTTCATGTTGAACACTGTCCAAAGTTGGGATGAAACTAGACAGCTTACAACTACCTAAATAAATACACAGATAAACATTCATGAATATTCTCTAGTAAATCTATTAGTGTCTGATATTATGCATGTTTATTAAATACTCCCGCTAAATTCAAAAGATGCAAATAGAACTGGACTCTTGGGGTGCTAGCCAACAGACAGTACCTTACTTTTCTATGCCAGCATATATTCAAGGCAGAAGAAACCAAACCAAAGCAAAATAAAGTACAAAGTCTAAAAACTAAAATAGTAGATTAAAAACTAATTCAGTAGGTTATAAAAGGCATGAAGAATCTGGACTGCAGGTTAATTTCCAGTTCATTTGATTTATTGCTCATGCCTATACACAAGAATCTGGTCAACTAATGGTCAACACTAAATCACTGGAATTCAAGAGGAGCTGGAATTAGATTGCTTGTGGCAGCGGAATGATTCCTGGCAGATTTCTCTCTTGACTCCACCCCAGGTTCTGCCTCTCCTTCTCCTACATCAAATCATTTAACCATTGGAAGACTAGAAAAACAGCTTTTTCTTTATAGATTTTCTACACACCGAGGACTGCAGGAGGCTGTGGTGGCCGAAAATGGAGGCTGGGAGGGCCGTGCATGGCCTTCCCAAGCTCCATGTTCACTGGCAGAGGCACCACGGGCCAGTCCTAGGGGACTGGAGACTAAAACTTGAAGAACTGTTACAGGAACTGGGCAAGGCTAGTCTAGTGAAGAGAAGGACCAGGGGCGACATGATAGCAGTCTTCCAATATTTGAGGGGCTGCCACAGAGAGGAGAAAGGGGTCAACCTGTTTTCCAAGGCACCTGAAGGCCAGACAAGGAATAATGGATGGAAACTGATCAAGGAGAGATTCAACCTGGAAATAAGGAGAAACTTTCTGACCGTGAGAACAATCAACCAATGGATCAGAAGTTGCCTTCGGAAGTTGTGGGAGCTTTGTCACTGGAGGGTTTCAAGAAGAGACTGGACTGCCATCTGTCAGAAATGGTATAGGGTCTCCTGTTTGGGCAAGGGGGTTGGACTAGATGATCTACAAGGTCCCTTCCAACTCTGATTATATGTTATTATTATCTGTTTCCAGGGCAAGATCTAAGCACCCCATGGACCAGATCAGGCCCATAGACCTTGAGTTTGACATGCCTGAGTTAGACAGATCATTTTACCTATCAAGCAATCCCTTCTTAAGCCTGAAGATGTTAATGATCAGATTATGGGATTTTCTGCATATAAAGCATGAGCTCAGCTCTTGGCCTTTCCATGTCCATTATTCCTTCATCCTTTCTAATAACTCCCTAATTTTAAACATACCTTGTCCAAGTCTTGCACCCAAGATGGCCTCCTTCGCGGTTCCAAAGCCCAATTCTCGGCAGGCCACACTGGCTGAATGTAGGCTCCACCCATCATCACAAATGGTCCCCCATTCCCCATTCATCAACACTTCAAGCCGGCCTTCTCCAACCTGGGCTCCACCCTTTAGCCTCACCAGGAGGTGCTAAAAAGGAATGGGAAAAATCTTTTATTACTTAGGGATGTAATTGTCAGAAGCAATTTTTGTGGTTTGTTGTTTGAAGTAAACTCATCCCCATAAATGCACCTTCTGGCACAAATCACAGATAGCATAAAAATAAAACTCCAGTTAAGACCAGAACTGAGCCCAGAACTTCCCTTACTAAGCAAGCAGACGTTAAGTGATTTCATATCTGACTTTTCACTTTTTTTTTTTTTTTTGCCATGAATTAGTAAGTGAATCACCGAGTCATTAAGCAAACCCAGTTTTCCCCTCGACATTGCTTTTGGAAACGCCCTGGGAAAGACACATGTGAACCTAGGAGACTGTCAACATCGCAAATACATGCTGGTTGTGAATTCGATAACATGGCTGCAGTAATGCTACAATGGTCATAAGCCACATTTTTCTGTGCCATTGTAACTTCGAATGTTTTTCCACAGTCCAAATTGAGCTTTGGTGCTACTTATTATGTTTAGTGAAAGTGTAGAGATAGATAGATAGATAGATAGATAGATAGATAGATAGATAGATAGATAGATGGATGGATGGATGGATGGATGGATGGATGGATGGATGGTAGGTTGGCAGGCAGGCAGGCAGGCAGGCAAAATGAATAGATAGAATTTTTTATTGGCCAAGTGTGATTGGACACACAAGGAATCTGTCTTGGTGCAAATGCTCTGTGTACATAAATAGAAAAGATACATTCGTCAAGAATAAGGCAACAATACTTAATAATAGTCATAGGATACAATAAGTGATCAAATCACACTAGTAAGGCAGGATATAAAAATATATTAATTTTAGAGAAATAATGATACGAGTTTTATAGATAGTGAAATATGTGGTATTGGCAAGAGAAAGAACAAGGAAGTGTGAAAAGCCAAACCACAAGGATCATCTATCGGTCACAAAGTCACATTTGCCAAGATACCTTGTCTCGCTTGTAACAAAACCACAAGCTAGGGAGTTTAGTAAGATGGGTTTGTGACATCCAGCCATCCTAGTCTAGCAACAGGGGAGCTCTGTTTCAAGTAAACAATGAATGAGTGACAAGTTATATTTCTGTGTTTTGCCCCTTCTGAAGAAGTATATAGGCATGTGCTGTTCTGTAAGAAATTTGTTCCGAAGTGACTCTCGCTAAAATACTCTGAACCTGTTTGTGCAAATAAAACCAACTTATTTTTGGATTGCAAGGTCTGAGCCTCGTAATTTCCTGCAACACTAGGAAACAGTCAGTAAAAATTGTTGGGATAAAAGCAACAAGGTTACAGTCATAAAGTCATAAGTGGGAGGAGATGGGTGAAAGGAAGGATGGGAGGATTAATAGTAATAATAGTAATAGTAATGCAGACTTAGTAAATAGTTTGACAGTGTTGAGGCCCCCCCTTGAATTCTATTGCCCCATTTCTAACTCTTAGCAGGTGTTATCAACTGTTTATTGATAATATTCCTAAGCATTGGCATGAGTAAATAAATAAATCTGTTTAATTCAACCGTCAAATGTGGATCTGATCTTTTGTGTCTGATAGAAAGCATATTAGATCTTCTTTCCCATCTTGGCTCCTTTCAAATTTCTTGCAGCTATTAATATACAGATTCCCAGTCAGGATGGCTAAGTCAAGGCATTTGGAATTATGGGAAATGTAGTTCTCAGGGTGACAGATTGGGAAAAAAGTAGGCTAGATTATGGGATATAAGCACATTTATGCAAATTTTCTAAAACTGGGAGAGCTAGAGGGAAGCACTGCATCATTTAGTCTCAATTGACAATGAATTCAAGTTCATATAGAATTTTGTTTTCTATATTCATGTCTCACCTAACCTGTATATATAACCAACATGATGGAAGCAAAAACAACAGAGCTAATTACGGATGGGAGGCAGTTGAGAGGGCCTATTACGCGTCCAAGGGCTAAATTGATTAATGATATATAAAGGCAAAGATCTCTAATGGTAGCTTCATATTTTGATGATGTCAGCAGAGGCTGACGAAAACTTAGTAAGTACAATAAATGTAATTTTAAGTTCCGGAGATCACAAGATGTCTGTTTCTTCTACACACACACACACACACACACACACACACACACACACAATCTGGAGGTTGCAGTTTTAAAATGTGGAGATTACAAAACACTCATCCTGATGGTTTTAGAGGCCTCTGAGCCCCAACAAGAATATCAACAGTCCACGGGAAATATCTTAAATAAAGGGAAAATGCTTCATCATCTAGGAACATTAGAGGGATACCTTCTGTAGAGCTAAAAGGGAAGAAAGTGTTCTAAGAAAAATATTACAAACCTATCAACTCTTGGTCCTGGATTAAAAGCAATCTCTTGATGATTTTGCATGATAAACAGTCTGTCCTAACAACTCTATCCCAGATAACTTAGTCTGCAGTTTAATTCAGAAAAGATTGTTCTTACGATTCAGGAGTTTTGTGCAAAACTAGGTCAATTCTGCTGTGATCACGTATGCACATGAATGGTGAAAGTCCCCTGTTGTTTTATATTTTTATTTGCTGAATTTCACAGAAGGTCAGCATGAACTGGAATTCAGATCTGGGCCATAAAATTCCTCCTCCATTCTATTCTCACTCGGTCCTTCCATGGATGGAGACAGATTCAAAGCCACCCAACAGTGTTCCATTGGTAGCTCCGGTCCGATCTGTTGCCCTACAGAAGTGCACCCTGATATGGTCCTACTTGCTGAGTCAATTCATCGTCCCAAAGCTACTGATGGCCTGTAAACCTCTTTTATTCTAGTTCCTGGTGGCCTCCAAGATCGTATCTTTGGAATTTATCAACATGTTTCTGGAAGGAAAAAAAAGCCAGCTGCATAATTTCCTATCATTGTCAACAACAAAAAACTAACCAGGTAAGCCAAGGCTTCAGGCGATACAGGATATATGGGACATTTAAAACACATAGAAATCCTCTTATCAAATGTGCATTAAAACCTCAATCCCTATCATGAAGATAAGTTTTTTCCCTAATAAGGAAAGGATAAATGTTGTGCCTTTTTATAGGCTACCGGTTGATAACTGATTGCAGGATCCAATCTGGGTCAGTCACTGGGACCAGAGCAGAGGTGGTATTCAGCAGGTTCTGGCCAGTTCTGGAGAACCGGTCGTGGAAATTTTGAGTAGTTCAGAGAACCAGCCAATCCCACCTCTGACTGGCCCCACCAACCCCATCTATTCTCTGCCTCCCAAGTCCCAGCGGATTGTCTGGGTCTTCTTTTGTTGCCCTGCACAGGAGAACAGAGCTGGAAAGCAGGTTAGTGGGGTAAGGAGGGAATGGGGATTTTGCAGTATCCTTCCCCTGCCATGCCCGCCAAGCCATGTCCATAGAACCAGTAGTAAAAAATGTCGAATCCCACCACTGGACCAGAGGTTTAGTTTTCTGAGCTTTTGGATTCATTCTGGAGCCCGTCTTCAGGGAATGTCTGTCTAGTGGAATGTGTCTACTGCTTGAAAGAAGTCCTCTAAAGATGAGCTCCAGAATGAAACCAAAAGTTCAGAAGACTAAACCCCTGCTCCCCGGTGACTGACCAGATTGGATCCTACAGCATTATCCTAGGACCCATATATTCGCCTTCATTCATAACCGATTGCTCTGCTAACATCAACAGATAATCTAAGGCAAAATTCATATTGCTTCCTTGCTATCACATAACCTTTCTGGATTATGAGCTGTTCCGTAAACAAGCATAACCAACATGGAACAATTTATTGTACAACCACCTGTGAAAAACCCGTTGCAATCTACTCCCAGTCTTGAATACCTTTTCAGATCCACCAACACAAGCATCACAGTTGGAATCACAAAGCCTTATTAAAAAGGTCTTGAATAATTTAATCAAAAATCTCACCTCTGCAACGAGTCAAAGTTTGGTCTAGTGCCAAAGAAAGCCAGTTTGGTCCAGTTTAAGGCACCAGATTCGAAACCAGGGGTTGGTGAGTTCTAGTCCCACCTTATGCATGAAAGCCAGCTCAGTGACTTTGGGCCAGTCCCTCCCTCTCAGCCCAATTCACTCCACAGGGTTGTTTTTGTTGGAAAATAGGATCAGAAAGGTCGGCAGTTCGGTGGTTCGAATCCCTAGCACCACATAACAGAGTGAGCTCCCGTTACTTGTCCCAGCTTCTGCCAACCTAGCAGTTCAAAAGCACATTAAAAAATGCAAGTAGAAAAATAGGGACCCCTTTGGTGGGAAGGTAACAGTGTTCTGTGCACCTTCGGCATTTAGTCATGCCAGCCACATGACCACGGAAATGTCTTTAGACAGCGCTGGCTCTTCGGCTTTGTAATGGAGATGAGCAGCACCCTCTAGAGCCGGAAACGACGAGCACGTATGTGCAAGGGGAACCTTTATCCTTTATTAATAATCTTTTAATAATTAATTAATATCAATATTCTTATTCATAGGAAGAATTAAGAGTCTCCAGATAAAGAATTGTGTTGCATAACGGAGTTATTATATAATAAGAATCAGGATCTAATATTGTGCCTCAATCTGGAGTCTTTCAGTTGTTTCACAATTCTAGATCCAGCCAACCTAAATGGTACCCTGATGTCTATGTTGTGGTCACTATTTTTGTTACCAACTTAACAAGTCATATGTGGCAATTTTCAGCTTTTAAAATAAGTGTGTAGGTCCACAGCATCCAAAAATGGTGCTAATTCAGAAATAGTTGGCAGCATCAACTCTCTGTCTACATTAAAAACAAATTCGTCTTTCTGTTGCTGTCATGGCGTGCTAATAAGCTGCAAATCCACCCTTACATAAAACCCAGGAATTCTAAGGCACAACTGTCCACATTATCATTTACATAATAGGAAAGTTGCTTGTTTGGAAGAACACAAAGCAACAGTCAGTTGGCGTGAACAAAAGAATTTGGAATGAGAATTAGGCAACGTTTTGCCAAGAGCTTCACCGCTTCCAGAGATAAATGAAGCTTGTGCAGTTCAGGAACTCCCAAACATCCTGAGTTAAAGCAGGGGAACGTTATAAATGTGGCGCTGCAGAATATAATTTTTAGCATTTTCCAGGTAAATATGAGCAACCGAGCAACTGTGCTTGAAAAATAAATGCAACATTTTAAGAGTGATGGCAGTGCCTCCAAAATATTGTTAGTGTTCCTTGAGGAGGAGCAGGAAATATAAATAAACCTCTTGGAATGCTAAATTTTGGAAAATTAGAATCTGCAGGGGAGAGAATGTTTTGAGAACTATGAATTCTTTGGAATTGGGAGAAAAGCTGTTTATGACTGGCTCTTAAATGTCTCCTATCTTTTTAAGTCCCAAAACATTTTCACTTTTTTTTTTTAATGTTGTCATCTTATTTCGGAATTCCATACTGGATGTGGCATAGGCAAAAAGAGGAGAACATGGGGCAGAGTCAGAAGAAAATGGAGACACAACATTAAAGACATGTTGAGAATGGTTGAGCTGCCAAGAGGAGGAAGGAGGAGGAGGAGGAGGAGGAGGAGGAAGAAGAAGAAGAAGAAGAAGAAGAAGAAGAAGAAGAAGAAGAAGATCATCATCTTATTTAGGAAAAAATGCAAACTTATCATTAAATGAACATTGCTTACATTTTATGAGATGGAAGGCTGGTCCAGCATTAAAGCTGCTGGAATTCATATACAAAAAAGGCAAGTTAAGAAACAGGGTTCCTACTATTGATATATGATATATAACAAAGTATTGTTAAGAATGCTATCTTGTACAAACTTAATGTGTGCCTTATCCTACCACTGGATTCCAGCCAGTTATGTTCACAGTTCTGTAAATAATGACCATATATGGACAAAGAATTCATGATTAGCTAGGAGATTTTAGAATTTGGCCTCTGGCTGAGTAGATTTTTGCTCCCTTTTGGTGCTAAGGAGTAGCTTAGTAAACTTACTCAGGCTATAATGACACTATACAGTGTCCAACATATTTGACATCTTTTCCTAAGAGTATTTGAAATGCAAAGGTTTGTGATTTCAATACTAAGGCAGCCACAGCCACATAGACCTCTAGCTACTTACAGTTCTCAAAGTTAGCAAATGAGAACTAATTCTAGATTAACCAGAGGAATCAGTTACTTTTATGATGATAAAAGTTACTTTTATGATGATGCCACTATTTTTCAAAATTCAGGTGGCTAAAATTGAATAAGATCAGCAAACTACAGAATACGTTTGTGTCCTAGTCTAAAATCTTTTGAGATCTCACATGAGACATATGAAATCTCAAGAAATACTAACCTTTTTGCATTGGTAAATGTTTACCAATATTTTAATTTTAAAATTTGCTATCCTGCCAATATTTGCATTGAAGGAAGGCACTATGGCAAGCCATCAACACAAGAATTTGCTGGAAGCAACTTGGAAGCTTGAGCAATCCTGGTTGTGATATCATCTTGCATTGCTCTATCTCAACAGATTGACCAAAGAGAGACCTTCACTCTACCTCAACTCTTGATCACAAATAGAATAATACTGAAAGCAATCTTCTAAAGACAAATAAAGCACCATAGTTAATTCAATGATAACAGTTTTCCCTAATTAGAGTGATCATATCCATGGCTGAAAATTTTGGGAAACGAAATCCTTGCAAATGGAGGGTATTTAAGTTGTGGAAAAGTAGGTTTGCTAGGATCAAACATATTAGAAATTTTGTTTTATATAAAGCACCACAGAGCAAACAGTACAGTTACCATGTGCTTTACTGCTCAATTATATTACTGTAACAGGAAACAGGAAACTCTCCTCAGAACATAAAGAAACCATAGGTTATAACCATAGATGCACACTAAACACTGCCATCTAGTGGGTAATATAATTCTGTAGTTGTTGCAAAACAAAATACATTCTAATATGTATTCCAACAAAACTTTATATTCAAATCCCTGTTAAGCCATGAAGCTCATTGGGTGCAATTTTATATCTTCCAATCAATTTTATTTCGCAGGTCTTTAAGAAGCTAAACTAGGAAGAACCATGAACATAGCTGCTCTTCTTGGAGAAAAGATGGGAAATGAATATGATAAATAAGGAATACTTCACACATTGTCAAGCATTGGACCCAGGTTGATGCAATGAAATGGTGAAAGGGAACCAGGGCTACAGTTTCCTTAATATCAAGATTCTCAACCTTGGAGGTGATCCTAAAGTTTGTTTGCTCCATAGCAAATTCAAGTTCCCTATCAGACCAAGGAGAATTTCTTCCACTTACCTGAGCACGGAAAGCTTTGCCGAAGCCACTATGACTGCCCGGGGAAAACGCTAGTCCAGGGCTGCAGCTGACCACTGCAGGCATCCCATTCTCACAGGTAACGTTCCCACCAAGTGTCATGATCCGATCGCCCATTTTGCAGCTAAAGAGATGTGATTCGGTGCCTTTGCAAATCACAGAATAAGCCCAGTATTTATGCTTTCTTCTGCTTGCTGAGGTTCTGGAAGAAAGGGAAGAATGCCACAATTGTTAAGATTCCACCACCAAGGAAACAATGGAGAAAATCCACCCCTGCCCAGAAGCAGTTGTTCATTTGCCTGGAGCCCAGGACATCCTCGCATCCAGGCCAGACAAGTTCACACAACCAAGCAGGCAAGCATAATAGGCTCTACGACAACTCGCCATGGCCAGCTCACCATGGGGCAAGAGTTAACATTAATATTGAAGAAATAATGGAATGGAATGATTAAAGAAAGGATGCCCGAGAAGGGAGAAAATGAATGCGAATGACAAAAATTAAAATTATTTTAAATAATTAAATTGAATGGTTGAATTGCCCCACAATGAGTTGTCTCATGGCAGGTTGGCTGTGGTGAGTTGTCCCATTCTGAGCATAATAACCTGGAAACATGGGTAGCCTTTTCTTAGATTGCAGTGTATGTCAAAAGAAGGAAAGGGATGACTTCTTGAATGACCTTGAATGGCATGTGTTTGTCATCAGGGCCGATTATGCTATTTGGATGGTATATTCATATCCAATTGGTTTGCAAAAGTTCATGAAATAAAGGAAACACTGAACAGTACAAATGAAGTCAGCAAACTAATCAATAGTTTAGTTTACTTTACTTTATTGTCATTGCACCTCATACAACAAAGTTAAATACTATCTTCAGTGCACATCATGACCATGAAAATAAACACAAACACACATCCTTCACACTCCACACATTGAATTGAAAATTCCTGACACTGCACTAACACTGCACTTTACGGTAAAATTCAACAGAGCTACTGCTCTGGGATAGATGCTGTTTTTCAGCCTATTTTATTGTCCTGTACTGTCTGCCAGATGGGAATAGTTAAAAAAAAAAGAGGGTGCCCCGAATGAGAACTTTCTTAAGGCGGTGGGAGCTATAAAGCTCTTCCAAAGAGGGGAGAGGGCAACCAATGATCTTCTGGGCAATGACATTAACCCTCTGGAGTGCTGTCCTATCTGCCCCTGTGCAATTGGCAAACCATACATAGGTGCAGTAAGTTAAGATACTCTCTGTGGTGCAGTGGTAGAAGGTCACCAGCAGTTTTTCATTCAGTTGCTGTTTTCTGAGAAGCCTCAGGTAGTATAATCTCTGCTGGGCCCTTTTGACCAGGGCTGCAAGGTGAGCATCCCAGGTCAGGTCCTCTTTTAGGGTAACACCCAGAAACTTAAAACTGGCCACTTGTTCCACTTGGTGTCCCTTGATTAGCAAGGGCTGGATGTCTGATCTGTTCCTTCTATAGTCCACTTTAAGCTCCTTGGTCTTATTGATGTTGAGGACCAAGTTATTGTCTCCATACCACGAAAACAACCAGTCCCACTCAATATAAATATAAATCAATATATTTACTTTCTACCCTTAGGCTGGAAAAGCAAAGAGTAATGATCTACTCTACCATTTAATCAAAATCCCACCTTCTCTGCATTGAGTCAGAGTTTGGTGCCAAAGAAAGCCAGTTTGGTCTAGTTAAAGTACCAGACTAGAAACCAGGGGATGGTGAGTTCTAATCCCACCTTACACATGAAAGCCAGCTGGGAGACTTTGGGCCAGTCCCTCCCTCTCAGCCCAACTCACTCCACAGAGTCGTTGTTGAGGAGGAAGTGGCATTAAGTATGGTCGTGACTGGAGTTATATGTAAAACAATAAAGGAAGGAAATAAATAAACGAAATAAAAAAATTAAGAGAGTCAAATTCTACTTTCCAGTACTCCTTAAGGGAAGAAGTGTATAATCTTAAGGAAGGAATATGTGATTTATATCAATTTGAAAGCAATTTGATTGTGAGTAACAGGTGAAGAGCTACAAAAGGTTGGGAAAAGCACCTGGCAGGATGGCATCGTGCACACAATGTTGTCAATGGCACAAATTATGTAATTTGCATCCGTTTCAGAATAAGAGCTGTAATATTACTAGCTCTCCTCCCCCCCCACCCCAGCAGATACGAGAGACCCAGAATCTGGTTTGGGGGATGCATTTTAGGGGCAGAAATGGTTATCTTGAACTCCCATCAGTTTTGAGATACAGGTAGTCCTTGACTTACAACCACAATTGAGCCCAACATTTATGTTAAAATTTATTTATTATTAAGGGAATCAATGCAGTTCTTAAGTTAGAAACATGGTTGTTAAGTGAATCTGGCTTCCCCTTTGACTTTGCTTGTCAGAAGGTCACAAAAAGGGGATCATGTGATCCTGGGACGCTGCAACCATCATAAACATGATGTCAACTCATAAAATGTTTCTATGGTCTTTTTAGAGTTGCCAACGGAAAGGGGTGGGGGGAGCAATGTAATAGCTTGCAAAACCAAAACTGCATTCCATAAATGTTTTCAAAGATAGTAACTAGGTGACTGAAGTTTCTGCCATGCAAAATTCTAACCGGAGAACATGATTGATGACTCTGGGCTATGGATGTGTCCCATTGGTGAATATGAATTATGAACCAGGGTCAAGGGTGACAATGAATGATGTGTCTCAGAGTCAGCTACACCCAGGCATCCTTTTTGAGTTTTGGAAGTTTGGCTTGAGACTTAAATGGGGGTAACTGCCAGAATACTGCCACGTGACTCATCACAAAGTGTCTAAATTTTGATCAGGTGATCATGGGGATGTTGCAACAGTTGTAAGTATGAAAAACAGTCCTAATTCACTTTTTTTCAATGGAGTGATGTAAGTTGAGGCCTCCCTGTACTGGGCCTCTCTTACTCCTCCTCTAAGATTAACCAATGAATCACACTGTTCGTTTCAATGGGGTGGGGGGGAGTGGAATAACCAACTGAGGAACTATCCCTTTGGTTTATCTACTAGTTCAGAGCAGAACCTTTTATGGCCTCACTGCTAAAACCCTGAAGGATTACGCTCAAGAGGTAAAGGAAATCCTTTGTGCCACGTTATGGATAATTTAGACAATCCTTTCCTTCCACAGCTTCCAAGTCCTTCAGATAAGATTGGAAGAAAAAAGAGAAATTAACTTTGCCCTTTCACCAGTCTGAGAACACAAGCCAGATCTCCAAGTACATCTGGAAGAGACATTCCGTAAAAGACCGACAACAACTTTGGGAGGCTCAATGGAAATAATAGGAACCATTTGAAAGGAGCACATTCGCTCTGCCCGTAATATCTTTGGCAATCTTTCGTACAATCCCTGGACACGAGAGAGGGGAATAAATCATGATGGATTACTATTTGTCAAAATCAACAATTATTTTTTTATGGGAGGAAATAAGATGGTCTTAATTTAGAACCGGTACATCAAATCCACTTTGAATCCACTTTGGTGACTTTGAAATCACCCCAAGATTTAAATATGGCAGACTTAGAGGTAGTACAAGCATCAACAATGATTACTAAGGCTACCTTTATTGTAAGGTTACATTAACAGACTCTTGCAAATCTAAAAAAAAATACTTCTCTCTTCCCTCAACTTTATAGTCCAAGAAGCTTGGGAGGGTCCTTCTGAGACATTTGCTAGACCCCTCTTAGTTGTCCATTGCCTAGATTTCTGGTCCCTTTCCTCCTCCATTCTCCCAAGGTCATTCTCACAGACCATCAACAAATAGACCATTTTTGACTTGTAGGGATGAGAGTCAGCAAATAAGAAAAGGAGAAGAAATAATTTTTGGCTTTTTTTCAAGAGCACGCTGAACTCTAAAACTTCTATACAATCTTTGCCCATATTAAACCATTTATAAAATTTAGAAATGATTTATTTTTAAAAAAAATGATAGAAAAGCAGTACAGGATGCAATTGAAGGGTTATGAAAGTTAAGGGAAACTTCTAAATTAGTCCAGTTGTGTCCTGCTAAAAAAAAAAATCCCTATCTAATTTCAAGTTGTAAGTAGTCAGTGAGTCAATCTCCTTTTTTTTTTGGTCCAAGCTTGTAAGTAATGCTGGCATTCAACTATAGCTATGAGTGAAACATACACACACCCCTTCTACTTTAAATATTTAACCTTGGCTCAGGGGTAGTCAAGTAGCTATGACAGATCCAATAATTTTAAATCAGAAATAAAATGCTTCTGAATATCAGAGAGAGAGAAAAATGCTTTCTCCTAATGGGCTAAGAAATTGAATGATTTGCTTGGCTTTCACTTAGCATGCTGTGCAAACATGACTGTGTTTTAAACCAAGCTCTGATTAAGCATAATGTGTGGAGTCAGTCAACATGGGGGCATTGTCTCCCAAAATGGCCATTCCAACTGGAAATTTGAAGAAACGCAATCCCCAAATATCAGAAAGCTAAAAGAGGAAAAATGCTCCACAAAATACTACATTCTCAATCAACCAGATCCCATTTTTACTTCCTGGGATGACAGAAGCCATGGTCTTACACATTTTTAACAGATTAACAGAGTTGGAAGAGATCTTGTAGGTCATCTTCTAGTCCACCCACGCACCCAAGCAGGAGACCCTACACCATTTCTGACAGATGGCAGTCCAGTTTCTTCTTCAAAGCTTCCAGTGATGAAGCTCCCACAACTTCCAAAGCCAACTTCTGTTCCATGGGTTGATTGCTCTCACTGTAAGAATATTTCTCTTTATTTCTAGGTGGAATTTCTCTTTTATCAGTTGGTAGCCCTTGACTTACCACCACAACTGAGCCCCAAATTTCTGTTGCTAAGAGAGACAGTTGTTAAGGGAGTAACGTGGCTTTTAAGTAAATCTGGTTCCCCCCAAAGGTTGCAAAAGTTGATCACATGACCACGGGATGCTACAACTGTCGTAAATACATGCCAGTTGCCAAGCGGTTAGATTTTGATCACGTGACCACTGGGAATGCTGCAACGGTCATAAGTGTGAAAAATGCCCATAAGTCACATTTTTCAATGCTTTTATAACTCCAGATAGTCACTAAACAAACTTGTAAGTCAAGGATTAGCTGTACTTGACTACCAGCCATTCAGAGCTGGTGGTATTTAATGGAGCTTTCCTGCCCTTTTCTGCTGCTAGAACAACATAGTTGACTG